TTCATGAAGCCACTTTATTCTATCCAATTCTTCAATTTAAGGGGAGAGCACAGGTGAATTTTAGAGTTGGAAAAAAGAATCTAACAAAGAACTAGTGCTTCTTGAGCCATGGTTTGTACTAATTGAACCTGTGGCATCACCTTCATCTACCCTTCCAACATCCCTTCCAATACCATCTCTATCTCCTTTTATGCCACAATTTGAGGAACACAGGTAAACAGGAGGAGATGAAGAAAGACCACAAAAGGGAGAACTCTTAGTTTACACTCAAAAAAACAAATCGAAAGACAATGAACAACTTATACCTAAAGCACCAAGAGAATCAACACTAGAGGTAGCTCCTAAAGCAGAAACTCATGGTGACTTAAAATTTGGGGTAACTCCTGAAACCCCAACACTCAATAGTAGAAAGCAAGTAAGTGAATTTACTGATCTTCCTATTGCTTTGAGGGAGCAACCTCGCTCGTGTACTTTCCATCTAATAGAAAGGTTTGTTTCATACAATGCACTCTCTCCTGAATATAGGGCTTTTGTTACTAATCTTGATAAAGGAAGCTCTAAGCATCCTTGAATGGGGAAGTGCTGTTATTGAAGAGATGAGAGCTTTAGAAAAGAATGAGACATGGGAGCTTATTCAACTACCAAAAGAAAAGCAAACAGTGAATTGTAAATGGGTGTTCACCCCAAAATACAAGGCAAATAAGTTAAAACCACGCTTTATTTGCAAAGGGGTTTACCTAGACATATGGCTTGGGTTATGAAGAAACATTTGCTCCAGTGGCAAAATTGGACACTATCAGAGTCCTATTATCTGTAGTAGCTAATCTTAAGTGGCCTTTTCATCAACTTGACATCAAAAATACTTTTCTGAATGGAAAGTTGAAGGAAAAAGTCTATATGACTCTACCTCCTGCATTTGACAGAGGCAAGGCAAATCAAGTTTATAAATTGAAAAAATCTATATATAGTTTGAAACAATCAGTAAAAGCTTGGTTTGACAGGTTCTCAAGAGTCTTAAAGTTTGAAGGTTACAAGTAAGCCCTATCAGATTATACAATGTTTGTTAAAGTCGAGGGAAGCAAGAAATGTATCCTTATTGTATAAGTTGATGACATAATACTCACCAGAGTTCAACTTGAGGAGATAGAAAGAGTAAGGGCTGCCCTTGGCAAGGAATTTGAAGTTAAAGATCTCGGGAAGCTAAAATACTTTCTTAGGATGGAAATTGCCAAATCAAAGAAAGAAATCTGTGTTTCTCAAAGAAAATATATACTTGATCTTCTTCCTAAGACAAGTATGTTGGGTTGTAGACCTGTTGAAACTCCTATTAATGTCAAGAAATTGAAGATGAAACCCAAGGACAAGAATGGAAAAGAGAAAGACTCCAAGGAGGAGGAAAACTCAAATGAGGAGTATGAAGAAGAAAAAGAAGAAGCTACTAACAAGGAGAGATATCGGAAACTTGTTGGAAAACTAATATATCTTTCCCATACAAGGCTAGATATAGCATTCACTGTTAATGTAACAAGTCAATATAAGAACTGCCCAATGGCAATCTACAGAATTTTGAGATATCTAAAAAGTATTCTTGGTAAAGAGTTGTTCCTTAGAAAACAAGAGTAATGATCTATAGTAGTTTACACAGATGCAAGTCAGGGTGAAATTTATAAAAATCAAAGGTCAACCTCTGACTATTGTTCATTTGTGTGGGGTAATCTAGTCACATGAAGAAGTCAGATGCAAAGAGTTGTTTCAAGAAGCAATGTTGAATCTGAGTTGAGAGCTTTAGCTCAATGAATAACAAAGGAGTTGTAGCTAGTACGAGTCTTGAATGAAATACATGTTAAAGCAAGTTCACCATTGAAGCTGTACTATGATAATAAAGTTGCCATAAGCATGACTTTAAATCCAATACAACATAACAGGTTGAAACATGTGGAGATAAATCGCCACTTCATCAGAGAAAAGGTGGAAGAAGAAATTACATCTTTGACATATTTGCTTACAAGATTGCAAATAGCTGATGTTTTGACTAAAGTGTTACTTGGCCCTGCATTTGATAATTGTATAAGCAAGTTGCACATAATTAACATCGATGATCCAACTTGAGGAGGAATGTAGGAATATTTGGTATTTATTATAAATATTGTAGTCTCTATTAAGCTTTATTAAACATTATTAGTTTTTATTTCCCCTTGTGTTTATATAGTCAGCTTGCACTCAATATTCAAATCAATAAGAAATATTATTTTCTCTTAAATTCCACACACTTCATATCATGGTGCAACGGGCATGACATCCTTTAAAGTAGTATATGGTGGGGATCCCCTTACATTTTTTAAGTTGAGTAGTGAACCTTTACTGTAGAAGATCTAAATGAAACAGATTCATGTTCGTAATCAGATCATTTTGCTTTGGGTAAAGGGGCAAAAATACTCACAAAATAGTTAGCCACGAGGACCCAATATCTAAAAGTGAGTAAAATAACAAAAATACTTATAACATTATATGAATGGGTGCAAAAGTGACCAGACCGTTAATTTTGACCTAACGCATTCACTTTGACCGTTAAACGCTGATTGTGCATGTCATATGTCATTCTTTACTGGTGTGGACTAATAAAGGTGCAAAAATACCCATAAAGTCATTGGCCAAAAGCAAAAATGCCCACAAAGTCATAGATCAGAAGCAAAAATACCCATAACGTTATCAGAGTTAGTGCAAAAGTACCCATCCATTCAACCCCTTAAATGTTGATCGTTTAGCTGACACTTAAGCAGAAGTTGACCATTTTTTTGCTGATGTAGACAAAAAATATTCCCACATGAATTTTTACTGCTGTTGATCGATCATCATATGAGTAGCCATAATGTTACTTTAATAGTTGCAATAATGACCAATCCATCGAAATCAATGTCACATGATTTCTTTCCATCACCACATATCTCACCCCCTTCCTTTCTCCCTCCCCACTCATTTTTCTCATCTATAAAACCTAAGACTCAACATAGTGAGATAAGTTGGACAAAATCAAAAATCGAGACTAAACACATTTAGTTTAAAAACATTGTCACAACCTTAAATAATTGCATTCATGATGGGTTCAAAATTTTTAAATAGTTTTCCCCACTGCTATAAAGAAATAAACAATTTAATTTAATATTCAATCAAAATAACATTTTCTCACATGATATTCATACAATGACCGATTAACCTCCAAAAAATTTTATCTAGGAATATTTTTTATACATATCAACGAAAAAAATGATCAACTTTTGCTTAAGTATCAACTAGATAATCAACATTTTAGGGATTGGATGAATTGGTACTTTTGCACCAACTCTGATAACATTATAGGTATTTTTACTTTTGGCCGACAACTTTGTGGGTATTTTCGCCCCTTTATTAGTCCATGTCAGTAAAAAATGACACATGACATGCATAGTCCACATTTAACGGTCAAAGTTAACAGTTTGATCAGTTTTGCACCCATCCATATAACGTTATAGACATTTTTACCCTTTTCCTCGCTTTAGGATACTGAGTGCCCGTGACTAGCCACTTGTGAGTATTTTTGCCCCTCTACCGTTTCGCTTTCAAGGGACAATTTGGCTAAGGCGCACACGTACAAGCATCGTAGGGATGTGCATGTTTAGGTTGGGGATCGTGTTTATGTGAACCTTTGACCTTGTATGATAAAAACCTTGGCTAGGAAGGCCCATGAGAAGCTCAACCTATGTTTTTATGGTCCTTTCAAGGTTTTTGAGAAGGTTGGAACAATGGCTTACAGACTTGAACTTCCATTCTCATAATGCTGTCACTGTATTTTTGCACTTGATACAATATTTTTTGGTGGGTCTCATTAAATCTCCTCCTTGGGGACGTCAACTCACTAAAGCAAAAGATTCAATACTAAATGAGGAAGAAATAGCAACAGAAAGTTGTACCAAGGCCTTGTGAATTTCTTCATACTTGATCACATTGAAGGTGTCATCTAGAGAAGGAAGAGGCTTCATGCCCATAATTCTTCCACAAAGATCCTCAAAGGAGTCGTTGAGGCCAAGAAGAAATTCATAACACCTCTCATACTTAAACAACTTTTTTATAATAAAGTTCATCATTGTGACAAGACCACTGGTGCACCTCATATAGGTCTAGATGCTCCTGTAACCGCTTAAGAGTGGTAAGGTGTAATAGACTTCTCCCCCTATATTAAGATTCAGAGAACCCTTTTTGCTTGCTAAATTGCTGCTGTATTCTCTTTGATAGAGTATGTACGGTGTGCTGACTCCTAAATCTCTTGAGCAGAATTGGCAAGCAAGTAGCTTTTTCCAAGTTCATGGAGCAAACTAGCCATGTCATCACCATATTGTTCTATGCACACCAAGTTTCATACTCAAGATTGCCTACCTTTGGTGCTAGGATTACCAGTGAGGTAACACTCCTTATTTCGCCCACGAACGAACATAAAAATGCTCCTAGACCACTATAGATAACTATCCCCATTCAATATGGGATACAAGAAGTTGAGAGAAGGAATCACTGCTGCCCCCACCTGGAGGAATCATACTGTCACCTCCAACCTGTCCTGATGGGGTTTTTAATTGATCCCCATCAATGGCCCTAGGGCTGCCATTCAATGCTACCTTATACAACATGAAGATTCTACCTCCGATACCATGTGAGTTTATGATGGAAAAATAGGATAGATGCAATTCATAGAGAGGAGCAATACATATATAGGAGGAGGAGAGATAAGATCATAATCATATCAAATCTCCTCTCTAGTCTACAAAATAAAAACAGAATAATAAATCTAATCCTAATCCCGAATAATCTGCTGATAAATAACTATAAAGATAGTAACAATTAGATCTAGGATTAGGTTTAGTAAAGTTAATGGGCCTAAGGCTTATGGGCCATTCAGCTTGCTTCCAACAAGATATTATATGGAAACATTAAATAGAAAATAATTCCACATCAATCTGTAGCTAATTCACCTTATTCAAGCAGTGGTGAGCTTCCAGTACCCTCTTCATATTTAACATTGGCTCACCCATCCCCATAAAAACTACATTTGTCACTCTCTGCTTGAAAACCTCCTCAATGGCCAAAACCTATGCATAGAAGATGTATTCTATTAAAAAGATGACTTCTGGGTGGAAAATAATGCAGGTCCCAACAACAATAAGAATGATCAACGTCCTTTTATCTTTTCTTAATTATTTTTCCCCTTTGCATTTGTTTAAAATGGAAGAAATAATCTAACGTAGTGTTTAGATTGATGGAGTTGAATTTAAAATATTACATTTAAAATCCATGTATTTAAAATCCTTTATTTGGATAGTGTAAAAAATTTTAAAGATAAAAGAGAGATGAGCTGAAATTTGTAGTAGGAACAAAAGAGTAGAAGTGACGAGCTTACCTCTATCTTCAATCAATGAGAGACAATAATGAGAGATGAAAGGAGTCGCAAGAATAATAGAGATACCAAAAGTGAAAATGTGAAGCAAAATGAGAGGGTTAGAGCAAGTGAAATTTCTAATAACTAGGGTTTAGAGGAAATTTGAATTTAGAAAGACATTATAATAAAACTTAGATTTAGATTTGGATCAAAAACTTTTATGCATGCAAACGGAGGATTTGGTTCAAATCCAAAAGTTACTTTGGGCAATCTAATTTACAAACCATGCAAACAATCTAAAATCAAATCATTTAACTAGGATGTGACATGACTCCAACCTGCTCAACAATTTCATGCCTCTGAAGATTCCTTGAAAACCCCCCCTTTCCGGTGGCACAAAACGTGCATCGTAATGGGCAACCAACCTGAAACACCAAGTATAAAAAAAAAAAATGAGAAACAACATTACAAATACCAAAAAATTCACAAGTTAATGAAATACATGAAAACGATTTCCCAAATCAGCCATACAACTATTCTAGCAAGCATTAATTGATAATTTCAAAGCCAATGAAATACCTGTGATGAGACACATGCAGTGAGGCGAACTGAACCTTTACCACCTTCAACAGGAATACCAACAGTTTCAATCAATCTGTTGTCGTGCAACTTCAATAATAACTGCAAAATCAGTTTCCAGCAGAAGAGTAAGAACCAACAAAATCTATGGCCAAATCCCTTAAAGAGGGATAGCCAAGAAAAGAAACGGAGTTGATAACATTCTTTTAATGAATGCTAACTTTACCAACAATACAACAAACTGCAAACAATTGACAGAACAAGTCAGAATTTGTCTTCAGACTTCTCGAAATTCAAGATAGTCACATAATTAACTACAAAAGCATGAAAAGCTTAAAGCAATCAAGTAGATATATCACAAGATGGTATATACAGTGAATGTCGTGCAATGTAAATATACAGTGATAGACGAGTCTCGTAAATTAACTCTGTACAAGTAACTAACTAACTTAACTACCATAGAAAATTCTAAACACTCTGTTAAGATAAATAAGAGAGAGTCAACATAAACGAGCTCTGGGAAGAAAAATACATAACAGTCAGGCCTCGTTTGCGTTTGGGATATGCAGAGGTAGAGGTAATACTTTTTCCAATATCTATTATATTTTTGCCATCGTTACTCGTCAATATTTCTTCTTTTATAGTTTTTCCAATGCAATGATTTTTTTTATAAAATTATTTTTTGATTCAAATTGCTTTTCTGTTTGAGTTTCTTTGCTTGCAGAGAAAGGGGAAAATCTTTGATTTTAGTTTCACCTTAACAGTGCCATCCGCTGCGGTGACATTGCGAAAAATAAGAGACCGCCCCACCCTCCATCCAGCTTCCTGAAGATCATCCCGAAACGCCCGAGGCACTGTAAATAATATTAGAGCAGAATTCAAGGTCGAAAACCAACAGAAATAACAAAACTGAAAAGACAAGGGAAATGGAGGAACACCCACACTGGTATAAATCCTGGATCTCTCTGACCTTTCTCTGGTATATAAGATGATGGAGTTGCTTCCCTCTATAGCTTTGCTAAGGGAAATTACAACAAAAGGCAAACAAAACCGAAGAAAATCAGACACATGTCAATGTTGCATTATAGCATGGAAATGTCAATCAGATACCTTATAAAAAGATAGCTTTAAACTTTTATACCTGGCCCAAGTCAAGAGCCAACTGTTGCAACTCTTTCTCGGACAAGCCAAGAAGAACCTGTGACTGGGAGTCACGTGTTGTCGAAGGGGCAGAAAGGTCGCAAGGGGAAGAGGTAGCAAGAGCCATGGTGCAAGAACGGAGGCAAGTCCGAAGTGAAGGGCGCACCGAACGTGCGATGGGCAAGGAAAATTGCTGAATTAGCTCCATTGAAGAGGCAATCATTGCCCTCTCCTTCAGTTTCTGGAAACGGAGGTACCAAAGAAGTATATCCACAAATAATCGAATTCTCCCCACCCCACGGCATAAACCCTGCTTTTCTATCGCACAGCAACAACGCAGGGGAGAATGACATTAAGATCTCAAAATAGTGATGAATAATACTTAGATCCGATTTTAGGGTGTGATTGGTTACAGAGAGATTTTAACAGCGTTTGATATTATCTTGTTCAATTTAGGAAGGCAGGAGAAAAAAATAATTATATATAAATAATTTTACCTTTATTTTATTAATGTTAAAATATCTATATATATATATATATATATATCTCTCTCTCTCTTGAACTTGTTATAAAGAGCATATTGATTAGAGCATGATAAATTTTATCTCTTCCTTTTCAATTTCTTCAATTTGAAAGGAAGAGTTTACTTTCGATCTCTTCCAATCAAACACTTTCTAATTTTTTAAAAACTTAACAGCAAATAATTAGATCCCATTTTAAAGTTTTAATTATAAATAAAAAATTTAAACTTTAAATATAATTCTCATATGTAATTATAACTTTTATTTGCAATTATATGAATCAATATTTATAATTTATTTTTAAAAACAATTTATCAAGAATTCACTTATCATAATTTTATATTTTGAGACTTTATTTTCATTTTTCCTCCACAAAATCTTGTAATTCATCTCATGTATTATTATTTTTAATAAATTTATTTTTATAATAGAATACATATTCAACTTTTTATACTTTCTCTCAATTACTGTTAATATAAAAATTAATTTATATGTAATATCATTTAAATGTCATTTATTTATTAGATGAATTATGGATGATATAATATATTAAGTCTATCTAAGAATTTCTTATCAATCTTGTCTTAAATGATCATTTGTTTTTATTACTTAAAATTGATTGAAGTAATATTTCTATAAAAATTGAGGAATAAGTCACATTAATAGTGATCTGTTCACTTTGTAATTTATTTTATATTTATATTACATTAATACGATAATTTAGTACTACGAATACGGGCCATGAATTTTGCACGCAGGGCAAAATACGGGCTTCAGCCAGCTAAAATGGCTTCTTTACTTTTGTTTTTTCGTTCCTTGGACCTAGTTTACACCTAGCCCGCGAAGTTTGACTTCCAATTATCAACATTTCAAGTGAGCACCAAGGGAGTGCAGTGAACATTGTATGAAAAAAGAAAGAGGGGGGGGGGGGGGGAGCGAACACGCTCGTCGAATACTGGGGAGATCGCGTTTGGAAGGTCGAGTCTGAACGCAGGAAACTAGAAGCTTTATTTATTTCATCTTCAGCCCAGGCCCTTATCTATTTTATGTTTCATCTTCGTTCCCTCCTTTTACCAAAAACATCTTCAGCCGCCCCTTTGAAGCTGAAGAATGGCTCTGAAGCCTTAGACTGGTGGGGGGTACGGGTGTCAGAAATATAATAGTGGAATCTGACGCTAGACCCTGGTGGAATTGATTACTGGGCAGAGCCACAACCCAAACAGGGGCAGCTTGGTCTTCCTGGAAATACGAAATTTACTCCAATTTAATTGGAGAATTCAGGTGCATTATGTCTCTCGAAAGCAACAAAGCGGCGGACATGCTGGCTACAGAAGGAATTTCTTCCTCAGCTTTTTTTGATTCGGTTCCCGCATTTTTTGAGGGAATTAGTGCAAGAAGATTGTCTGGGATTTCAATCCCCTATTCCTGTTTAGTTTTCTAATGTAATTTGGGCATTGCCCTCTTCTTTGTGTGAAAAAAAAAAAAAAAAAACTTCAGCCAATGCTATACAACGCATACCTACGGACTTAGACCTCAAATGAAGGTTGGTTAAAAAAACAGAAAAAAGGACCTCAATCGAAGACATTGCTTATTGCTTTCCCCATTTACAAAATCAAAAACTGTACACCAATCACGTTTCTTCATGCATGCTTTAGTCAATGACATACGATGGGCCAACTCTACATCTTCAAAACAATAAAAAGTTAAACCAGTAATATTTCCTCTTAAGTACATAGAGGAGAGGCCGATCGCGTTTGCGTAGAAGTACCTTCTCCATTTGAAGATCCATTTATGCTTCTTCCGTGCTGCTTAGGACCATTGCTACTTAAGCTATGACTGCTTTTGACAGTCTTATTTTGCGAGCTCGCTCCCACCGTAGCCATGTCACACGAATCCTGAAGTTGTTCCAATGCCCTGACCACCACCTCCATGTTTGGTCGCAGTTTGGGTTCTACAGACAAGCATTTAAGTGTTAGGCTAGCCACTTCCATTGCTTCCCGCTGAGAGCACTGACCGTCAATACGAGCATCTATAACTTGGAAAATCCGCCGTTTGCTGGTTAGGTGAGGCTTTGCCCATTCAACTAAATTATGCTCCCCAGAAGGCCGGTTATTGTCCAATGCACGTTTGCCAGATATGATTTCGAGGAGAACAACCCCAAAACTGTATACATCACTCCTTTTAGTCAAGTGGCCTCCACACAAAAGAAAAACTTAAAATGGTCAGGAATGAAATTGCTGGTAAATCTTCGATACCATGGTATGCAATGATGCAGTAGAAAAATGAAGAACTAAGAGTTGTTAGACAAATGAGGAGTAACAAAAAAAAAAAAAAAACAACACTTGGAAAGTTCATTATTAAAACCTGGCAACACTAACAGACATCATGCGCAGACAAAAAAAAGCATTCACATGCTAGTGACCACACACCTTCATGCATTGGTGATGACAAAACTGCAGAGTAAATTGAGGGTGACGCTTGTGAATTTATGTTAAATGAATGATACTACCGAGGTTTGAGACAAAACTACGAGCATGAAATATGACATGTAAAGTGGCTAAGAGCTTCTCTGCGAGTATACAGGTACCTGTGGCGATATACTCAGGAGCAGCATAGCCAAAGGTTCCCATTACTCTAGTAGAGACATGGCTCTTGTCATCTGCTGGTCCATCCTTTGCCAACCCAAAATCAGAGAGCTTTGCATTGTAGTTCTGACATCAACAGAAAAGGAATATTAGAAACATGGCTAATTTCTAAACTGGTATACCACTGTGACTTGCATACCGAATCAATCAAGATGTTAGAAGTTTTGAAGTCTCGATATATCACTTTAACTGGGTCACTGTGAAGAAATGCCAGACCCTTAGCAGCATCAAGAGCAACCTTCATACGGATGCTCCAAGAAAGTGGTTGAAAGTAAGACGACCCTGCTCCAGAGACAGTAGTTAGTTGAAAGTACGAGAGTTCAAGGCACTAAATAATGTGAATGGCAGTGTTTTGGAGAGGAATTGATAACTCACTCCTAAACAAGTGATTATCCAAACTTCCCTTAGCCAAAAATTCATACACCAAAATCCGGTGGTCATCCTCTAAGCAGTAACCAATCAGTTTTACTAGATTAGGATGATGTAGCTGCCCCAGGTAGTTTATTTCTGTCTATAGCACAAGACAGATTAGGCATTTTGACCTAAAAAAGTAAGTTGTTTTCTAAAGAAGTTACCAAAAGTTAAATCACCAAAAAAAAAAAAAATCTCCTTCAACTAATCTGGTAACTGCACTTCACATTTATGTGCTTTGAGAAAAGTTCTTTACTGTAAATAATTCATGCTAAGCGACACTCACCAGCCACTCAGTGTGTCCCTGAAGGCCTTCTTGGTTAAGCCTCTTCACAGCAATCACAAGCCCAATCCCTGGTTTAACTGGTGCAAGTGTATACTCATCAATCCACCCCTTAAATACACATCCGAATCCACCTTCACCCACCACACTATCTGGACGAAAGTTCCTTGTAGCAGCTCTTAGCTCATTGAAGCTGAAGTTCTTCATGTTGGAGGATTTCAGGATCTCACCCTCTGACCGGGGAGTTGGAGGCACAGAGGGAGCAGAGATCTTGTCACTTAGACCACTCAAACCATCCTCTTCTGTATTACCATCGATTGAAATCAAACCTGCCCATATCAAAACAAGATTGGATCCACTTGTCAGATCATATATAAGCAGCATGATTATAAACTCAGACTCTGATTATATGGAAAGTCTTAGGTCAGGGTGCAAAGGGAGAAGGAAGTGATTCTCGTGCTTGATTAATTCTTAAAACCAAATCTGATAATGATGAGCTAAGGAACACTCTAGGAAAATAGACATACAAAAAATGCTCGATCTTTGAAGTTCCCAAAGCAAAAAAGGAAAAAAAGAAAGAACGAAAGAAAGAAAGAAAGAAAGATCCTCTGGAATGGTTCGTTCTGACCAGATTCTTAATAACTCATCAGTGCCGACAAGCTCAAGATATTCAGTCAAGTCTCTGTATAAATCATGGAGATCCTAAAGAATAGAAATTACAATAGCTATCACAGCCTAAATTCGAGCAAACAACGCTCAGAAAGCACTAAGCAGGCAGAACAAGCAATTAACGATGAAAAGAAGGCAAGGAAAGAAATGTTACCATTGCGAGGAGGGCTCTCAGCTTTGATCCTCGCACTAAAGCAGCAACCCATGGGGACAGAGCCGAAAGCTCAGAATTGGTTGAGTCTGGAGTGAAGGTAGAACCTATAAATGAAAGAGGAGGGGGAGGGAGGAGAAAAAGAAAAGGTGGGGGCATGGACGGAATACCGAATACCCAATTGGGGAAAGGAAGACAAGTTGAAGTTTTCAGTTAGAGAGAATAGAAGAATAGGTCGCCAAAGCCCGTGAAAAGGGGGATAAAAACAAATATGCAAGTGTGAAATCAAAACTTTTCCACATGAAACCTAAGCTGTCACCCGCGGACTTACGTGAACAGGCTACCAGGGATTCTGGTGTGAAATGGGGTTAGACCATTGAGAAGGACAAAACCACAGGACGAGAGTCAGAGACTCTCAGTTGACCCGGCCGCCATCATTGTAAGTCTATCATCAAGTGGAGCAAAAAGTCTCAGAAAGTGCCATCCGTCCCTCCTTCCTTCCTTCAAAGCTTATCCTTCTCTTTTCTTGCCGTTTTTTCGGCCCTCCGTTGCAAGACGACGATTGTGCATGCCCGCGCCTATTCTAAATCGGTTAGAATTCCCATTCACTGCACTTCCAATACAAGAAAACAGCGTTCTTCTGATTGACACGTGTCTGCCTCCATTTCGCCGGAAGTTTGACCGACAGGCGTTTGAAGGTCGACGAAGAAAGAAGGTTGAGGATCGAGACTGACGAGATCGACGGATAGAATAGGTTACAAGATCCTGGTAATCGGCGCCGGCGGACTTAACCAGAAAATCGGTTGTGAAATCAAGAAATGGTTTGCGAGATTGATGTTCGACAGACGCATTCGGTTTATCGGTTGCGAAATTCTTAGTTGGGTCGTTGTAAATTCATGTATAAATCTTGTACAACGATTTTTATTTTTTTTTGGCACAAATTGTATAACGTTTTCTTGGAATCATTTTTGTTGGTGCAAAATTGAAAATGAAACTGGACCAATAAAGATTAGGTCCGGAGGTTTAAGAAAATTTCAATGAAGATCTTAATATCATATTTATTTAAATTTAAAATTCTTAAATTTTTAAAATTTCATTACAGTTTAAAAGTACTCATTTAACATTAAACTTTTAAAAAAGTAATAAAATTATTCATCATTTAAAGTAATATCAAAATTTTGCAAATTCACTCGTTCATTGTTCTTACTTGTTTTTTATTTTAAGTGTTTAAATTCTTTTAAGATAACTAATTGGTTTTTATATTGTATATTGTTAATTATTTTACTTCACTAGTTTTTTGCCTTAATTCACATATTTATTACCAAACTTTGATTTGATTTCATTCTTGAAAAATAAATAAATAAAATAGAGCAATTAACAATATTATGTAAATAAATGAATAAGTGAAATATAAAAGTTTTGATATTAATTTAAATCAGGGACAATTTGACATTTTCTTTAAAAATTTAATATTAAATCAGTATCTTTAGACTGTATTAAAAATTTTAAATTTAAATAAGAATAATTCAAGTTCTTTATTAAAATTCTTTCTTACAAAATCAATGGGTTGGGTTACAAAATACTTTTTATTATTTTTTAATTTAATCAATTTTTTAAAAATAATTTTTTTCAAAATATCCCTAACAATCAACCAAACAGGCATCTAGTATTGGATATTGCATACTTGCACTACATGGCAGTGCACTAACACTTCATTATAAAGGGGATATGTGATTAAACCAAATAAGTCCTTCAACTCAATGATGGTCTGCATAAGAATTCAAAACTAGGTCAAAATTTGCTTTTTATTCTTCTTCTTCTTCTTTTTTAAATGTTCATTAATTAAAAATAAAAAAATTACATCCAAGTACCATTTAAGCAAATTATTCACATATAAAAACAAATAACAAGTCTCATTTGAGAATAAAAAGTTACATTCCTATTTTAATAATAATTCATTTCTTATTTATCCTCATTCGTAAATAATTTATTTGAGTACTTTTTATATATGATCCTCCCATTAAAAATTGGCTAATCATGTAAAAAATTAGGCTAGAATGAAACTTGACAATGGTAGATTTACTCCTTGTTGAGAGCGTGCAAATGCACCCTCTCACTTCAAGGAACATTATAAGTTGTGTGTGTAAATTTTATAACTTTACACTTCCTACTCTTAAAATTTTATACTTTTTGAACTACATAAAAAATATTTGACCTCAAAAGCTTATTATATATGTAATATTTTAAGATAGATATAAGATATGAAGAACATATTTTACATAAAAGATCATGTTAATATGTTCAATGTAATTTTTTTAAAAAATGATGATTAATTTACTTATGTCATTACTGTAACATCCCAATTTAAATTTTAATAGTTAATTTGGGTTAAAAAAATAATATTTAGAGGTAAGAAAATTAGTAAGAGATGATTATTAAATCTAACTTAGGATATAATTCTAAAAAAAATTAAATTAAAAAAAAATTTAAAAAAAATAAAAAAATATTATTAAATTATTATTATAATAAAAAAAAAGGAAAAGGTTTGAAAAAAAAAGGAGAAGAAGGAAGAAAACGTGCGGCCGCCTCAATAGTAACAATAGTAAAATAATAATAATAAAGAAAGAGAGAAAGAAGAGAGAGAAAAGAATAAAAAAAATGTGTGGGACCCACTGAATTTTTATAAAAACTCACCTTCCTTCATTTCCTCATTCATTCCTTCGTGCGTGCTGAGGCAGAGAGAACGCGAGTCACCGGTGCGAAATATCTAAATTTTTAAGGTAAGAGTTTTTAATAGGATATTTAGGGTGTGATTTTAAGCTTTTCAAGACTAAGTAAGTGTTCTAAAAATTTTTCTTAGTCATCCTTCTTCTTTAGTTTCTGAGTTTGTAGTGGTAGAAAATTTAAGATCTGAAAGAGGGATGAATTTATGTTGAATAAATATGATTTTTGAGGTTGTCAGTAGTATAATAAATGTTATAGAGTATAAATTTGTTAATGATCTTTGAATTTATGGCTTATGGATCAAATTCTAAACTAGATCTGAAAATATATGTTGATTTATTGAGGTTTAGATGATTATTTGGGATGAGAAATGAATTATTATGGCTATAGGATTATGATTCTAAGCTAGAGACTCAATTTTTAATTTTTGGGTATTTTAGGTGCGAATTTATAAAATAAAAAGAAAATTTTGATAATAGAAATTAGTTTAGAAGTTGATTTTTAGATTATTAATGTTTATTGATAATTAAAAGAGGAGTTAAAAATTATACTTAATAGTATTAACTATAGATTTGTATTAAGATTGAGATTAGGAATTATGTTATATTTTTAATTCTATTATTAGAATTATTTTATTAGTTTCAAAAATTGAAACTAATATTTATAAATAATATGTTATTTGTAGATTGTATTACTGGTGAAGATTGTGGTGAGAGAGAAATTTTAAGGAATAATTTATTGAAAAAGCCACAAGGTAACCATGCTTTTAATTTGTGATTAGTGTTACTTCTTGTTAATTGGGTGATTATTGAGAAAATTATGAATTTTGTAATATTGTATAATTGTACAATATTATTATGAATTTGTTTAATTATTGTGGGAGGTGTTGGGAGACTTGCTATTATTGTTATATTTATGTGCCACGTGGTACGCCCCTATTGGAGCTCAATAGGTGGTTTGTAAGGGCTCGGGCTAATCTATCTTTGGCCGGGTAATTTAGCACCGAGTGAGGGCTACGGCTCGAGGTTAATGGAGGGATATAAGGATGGTTGTTTGTGTTTATTATAATATTTCTTATATTTGTTGGAATTATATTATTTTTTATTTCTCACTTAGTAAGCACACACTTAACTGTTTGTATACACTATCATAAATTGGCTTTGGTTACTAGGACTTTTGAGTCTCATTATGTGGTTAACAATTTTCAGGAGAAGAGCCACGAGTGACACGTGGAGGAGTCCCAGAGGCTTAGTGGTATAGATCCACTGTCTCTTTTGGGTATTTAATTTATGATTTATAATGTGTTATATTGCCAATATTAGGGCTTTTTGTTTATTGTCAATTATATGAATATATAAATGTAATCATGTCTTTCAAACTATTTCTATTTTTGGTACAATTTAGATGACTGTAATTTTAATATTTGGTTTACTTTGGATTGGTTAAAATGGCATGATTATAAGGCCAAATAACTGGCTTGTGTTGAAAATTGAGTAAATTGCTTATTTTATTTGTTGGGAGTATAAGGATGGATAAATGTAATTTAGTTTACTTGTTGGGAGTATAAGGATGGACAAATGTGATTTAGCCTAATGGCATGTGGGAGGTAAAAATTTATCTGAAATGTTATAGTGTGTGAGTTGAAGCCAATTATAAAATATTTTATATCGAAATTATTGATATAAAAATGTGTTGGGTGGTTGTAACCCAACTATGGTTGAGTTAAATTATTTTAAAAAAAAATTTTTGGTGTGTTACAATTACAATTTCGTTCCTAGTGTAATTATATTATTTTAAAAAAATTTATTAATTTTTAAATTAAATTATCTTGCAACCCCTAACTCTATGTCCCACCTTTGCCACTGCAACTTGGATACCGGTACCAAAGATAGCTTATCTTCTAAATTTGTGATATTTCCATGGTTTGCATTAGTAGCTCGAATATGTAAGTCGTCATGCCCTGAAAACAAAAGGGTGACCAGCATGAGATACGAATCATGTCACATAATCCTTAAGCCTTAAATTTAAAAAAAAATCTATTTTCTAAAATGTAATTATATTTACCCTAAAATTATAGCATCTTTAATAGTTTTTATATCAACACAAATTTCACTATTTTTGTAGACATTTCGGCAAGGTCTCCCTTATAAGTAAGATCTCCTGAAAACTTTATAACACAATATTTAAACAAAATAAGGTAACAACCAGGAGCTCAACTCTTTCTAGCCAGCAAATAAAGGATATAACCAAACTAAAAACCCTAACTATAGCATATATAGAGCAAGTAATCGTATTTTTCAAAAATAAACTATAAAAGTTTTATTGCATCAAAAAGGAGAGAATTTCAAACAAATTTCCTCTCAGCACAATTATACTTCCCTTAAAGGTTAACATGAAGTTCAGCATTGGTTAATGAATCTAAGACTAAAAATAAATTTTTAGTGAATAATGTCCAATTTAAATTTCATTTAAAGTAAAGTAAAGTAAAGTAAAGGGAGGAAATCTTTATAAAACAATTATGAGTTCCACAATAATAACCATTATTATAAAGAAAACGCATCATGTAGTACCTTAATTATTAAGTGGCTAGACTCACCTTTCTCTTTTAATATTTTACAGACTCTAGCTCTTGTGCATAAAAGGAAAAAGCTACAGAGGCTTAAGAATCTAGGATTCCTACTGTATAGTCTCTTGACCCTATTTATCTTTATATAATAATTAATATATTGCCAATTAGGTTTATATTTTGCATACACTTGCACTTGTGATATTTATGATGTATGGAATGTATTTTGAGCCTTGAATTGTCGTTTGTATGTTGTTCAAGTGTATTATAGGATAAAAATACTAGTGCAAGTATAGCAAGATTGTTTTAAATATGATGTGGATGATTTTTGGTGAAGTGCAATGCTAAAACCTCTCTTTTTTGTTTTTGGCATTAAAGGGATTAAGGAGTGAAAATTAATATTGTGGTGTATATGTGCATGTGGTGTGTTATACAGGTAATCTTAGATTTAATGATTATAGTCTGGGTGTTAAAAATGGCATTTGACATATGCATAAGGTTTTAAACACCCATTTAGTTGTGAAAATTGTGAAAAGTTACAAAAAAGTATTTGAGGGTCCAACTTCCTAGTGTGACTTGATTTGAAAGTAAAACCCATGCCATTAGTTAGTTTATAAAAAAAACTTTTAGTAGACACTTAAATC